GACTCCTTCCCCGGCGCGGCGCGGCGCGGCGCGACGCTGTGGAGAACGCTCTGGAAGAGCGAGATTTCTTCTCGGAGCGAAACCTGATCGCACCTGGGCGAGCTGCTCGCGCGGTCGCGTGAGAGAGCGCGCGATTGCGATCTTGACGGTATAATTTCCGTCGAACTCTTTCGCCGCCACCGTTCGGCGCAACTGGTCGCGAGAGATCCCGCTCTAAGGATACGTCAATCGTCCAAGATCGCGACCCTTAATGCGTCGCGTTAATTGCTGCTCCAACGAATCCCGTCGTTAAACTTATATCTCGACTACGTTACGCTCGGATGCGCCCGTAGACGGTTGCTCGTGTTCCACTGGAGAACCTGTCATCCGATGATCGAACCTCCTAGATAAAAGCGAGCTACCGAGGTGCATTATTCGACGATCCCTCGAGCGCTTCTTTTTGTACGTCGTGTACATAAAAGTCCTTAAAATTCTTTAGCATTTCAATGGTCGGTTCACCATAATCCGATTTTCTGTTAAATCCTTTCCGACGAGCGACAAAGTCAACGTTGCCCACGACGGCATGGAAAGACGAGGGATTCTGCTCAAGCAAGCTTAAGGATCGCTATCCGATTTTTACCCGCGACTCGCCAGATTCCTGGCATCGCCTTTTCTAGATGATCTCGGGAACGTCTTCAGGGAACCACCGGTGTTCCTTGATCGAAGAACGAGCGATAGCTTCGGGATGAAGAAGTCTGGTCCTGGCAGAATAGAGCTCCCGGAAGATGAAAAAAAAAAAAAAAAAACAAGCAGACTCTCGCGGCACCTTTCACCGGTGGGGGCACTTTCCGAGCCTCGTCCTGCGGTGTCCTCGTATCTCGCGGCAAGAAGAAGAACGTCGAAGAAGATGTCGTCAATTTGACGACCCGGTGACTCTTCCACGACGAGGACTCTCCCTCATTCAGGAGGACGCGGAAGTGACCTCGTTGGAGAACGGCTGCTCTTCCTCGTGGTGTTATCGGAGGGCACTGGGAACGCTGCGAAACCGACCGGCGCGGCGTGTTGGTACAGAATGATCACGGCAGGGTCCACGAGCTTATGGTCCCTCTCTTTTCGCTCTCCCTCCGGCTCCTCCCCCCTCGTTCTCTCTATCTCTGTCACTCCCTCTGGTCGTCGAGTACCCCTTCTTGGTCTCTTCAACCAGCGCACTTCTGTCTCTCTCTCTCTCTCTCTCTCTCTCTCTCTCTCTCTCTCTCTCTCTCTCTCTTTCTCTCCCTTGCCCTCGTTCTCTCGCTCCCTCTCTTTCTCTCTCTCCCCCCTCCTCTCTCTCTCTCTCTCTCATCATAGGCCCGCGGCTCGTTCACTCGGAGAGGGAACCCCTTGATGGTCGCACGAAACCCGCCGGCTGCTTCTCTCCCCTGCTGCTTTTCTGCCTTTCTGTCCATCTCTCTTCCATTGCCCCACTCGCCGTATATTCTCACTCTGTCTTTCTCTCTTTGCCTTTCTCGTTTCTTCCCTCTCCCTTTGCCGCCGCGGTGGCTGGTTCATTGGTTTCATCGGTGCACCGGCCTGGGCTCTCCGTATTCTTTTCTCTAATTATACCGTTACGTGCAATCGCCCGTGTCAATTAGCAGCTCCTTTCTTTCGTTCCTCCTCTTGCGCGCTTCTTTTTTTTTCTTTTCTCGCCACTCTGGGTTGGAGATCCGACGTGGCGTGCAACCCCTTCGAAAGGACCGCTGCGTAAGGGAAGGGAAAGCAGGGTGAGGGGTAGACCGGCGCGCGCGATCGGACCCGCCAATTAATCCTCTGTATCCTTCGAGTCGCTCGTGTAACAAGACCGCCACTCGAACGACGATATTCGAGAATCCTCGATTTCTTTCAAGGACCGATCAGTTAGTGTGTCACAAATTTATCATTCAAAACGTTTCAGATCACTTAATATAAATTTAAAACATAAACAAACGCAAAATTTAATTATGAAAGATATTTGACACAATATATTATACAAAACACTATGTTTATATAAATTCAAAATATATACATAAAAAAACAAACGTTTTAAAAATAAATATACATATAAGAATTCTTTTTTCATTCTAAATGAATCGAATAAATTGAATTTTTAAAAATCGTGAATAGTTCTTTTTCAAAACTTCCCGAAAAAAAGGATATACATTTTTCTTTCTCCTTTTTAGTAAAAAAAAAATTATTTTAGGATTTTTAAAGAGTTTCATTTATTGTCTCTATTTGGCATATTGCAGTTTAGTCGTGTAAATTTTAGATTTTATCATCTTTTTATTCTGATCAAAATGTCCGTCTCGCTCAGAACAAAAAAATATCACTCGTCTAAAATCTGATATTATAGTTATAATGTAAAAAATACAACATAATGATGAAAATTAGCATATCAATTTAAGTAAAACAACCGTCTCAAATACTGCATTAAATCTAAAAAAATCTGCAACATCAATAATAATAAAAAATTATTATTAATTATCATTAATAATTATAATTTGTATTTCATTATTTATGAATTTCAATGCAATTTTTAATAAATTATATAAATGAAAATACAAATTCTTAGTTCGAATTGGCCTGTAAACGAAAGTGCATTCGTGAAAATATGATGCACCAAGTATCTGGATGACTCCAATCAAATTCCAATTAATTTAAGGATTGCTCAGAACAAAATTTGCAATTAATAATTTGTCCCTAATCTTATTTATCTTTCCCATATGTTTAATAATAAGAGACTAATAATTCTGTCCATATTAACGAAATAGGTATTTCTTGATAGACATATTACAGGTATTATACTTAATAAGTTAACCAGAGATTAAGATAATCGGAGTCGAAGTCACCCTCTATATCCGTCCTTCTTCCTCCGAATCGTTCAAAGCGCAGCTGCGGTCGCGATGATCTCGTTCGATGTCGAACGCGCGATGGCGATCGGAGGATACGGAGGCGTTTAGCGTTAAATGAATGGCGTGATTGCAGGTCCATCGTCCGTAATCGGCGTTTTACCGCGACGATAAACAGCCTCCATTTACGAAAGAAGGAAAAAAAAAGAAAAATCCCGCCGCTCGTTAGAACCCCAGAGCCGCGCGGAGATGAGAAGATACGGTTTATTCATCGGCGCTTTCTTTCTCGATTGCCTCTCTTCCCTTTAATTATACCGTTACGCGTGATCGCCCCCCCCCCTCTCTCCGTCTTTAATTGGCTTCTTCCATTCCGGAAAGTAATGCCGATCGCTCCCGCGGGCCGATTTCACCACGACTGGCTTGTTATCCGCCGACGAATCTCTGCGAAAAATCCTGAATCGGCGTCACGTTCCCACACAACGTGCTCTCACACGTGTCAAGAACGTAATCGATAATCCATTACGTCATCGCGTCGTTTCAACGACGTTGACAATGCGACCTCGTCCTAACTAGGTCTGTTTTTTATTCCTGTGCTAGAATTCTCTTTCTCAAATATCCACAAACATATATCTATCTCATTTTAAGTTACAAAAGTGTATACTAGTTTACCAACAGAAAAAAATAGACTTAATGTACTGTATATTTTTTGTATGGAAAAAAATACGACACGAATCCGACGAGATATACCTGTTAAGTGTATTCTTGCGCGCACCAACCCGGTAATAGTCATCGATTAATCTATCCCTCTTAACGCTCTTCCTCCCCCCCCCCGCTATCCTCCCACCAATCAAAGCAACACGTGCGATCGATCACCTTAATTGCGGCAGATTCTGTTCTCTTTTCTCGACCACTGCTCAACAGGGTAACATTAATTGAAGGCCTTTGCGCCACGAAACGTTGCCATCGAGAAAAATGTTAAGACTCGACCTGCGATCGTTATCGGGTCCCTTGCGCGTTTTTTCTTCTCGCAGGAAATCGTTCCTATCGATTGTCTCTTCATTCTTGTGCCGGGTACCTTTTATCAGCCAAATGTTGTTAATTAAACACGTGAGATAGGAAGGACAACTGGTAAAGAACTCGTTCTGGATGAATATTAACTTTCAATGTTCATTAAAAGTATGTTTTACTAATAACTATTAATAAGTACAAAATGGAACTATGGATATTCATATCGCCAGCCGAATATAACAACTGACACTTAGAGAAAGATGCATGTGTATTTTTTCCCTTATTACAGACATATTATTTCATTTTTCTTAACGTTCTTAACGTTCTTACTGTTGTGGAAACATTCACGATTGCACGAAGTCTCGGATTTCGTCCCGTTACAAATTCTTTTTTTTATTAGAAATCTTACAGTTGTAGGAAATACCTTAATGCTAACGATGAACAGTTTAGGTTTAACCTCGACAAAGTGGAGAGCGCATTTACCGATGACTTATTGTGAACGAGATAATTTAATTACATAGAAAAATGTACAATTGATTCACATGATTTCAGTGTATCATTAGTTATCCTAAATTACACGATTCTCCGCACCTCGAAAAATCGTTTCAAATAAAAGATTTGCCCTATCGTTACGCATACCAGTACCATAGCTTCGAAGAACGCCCACACCACGACACGGAAATTTGTACTCTCATTGATCGCCCTGTGATTACGATCGCGGACCTGAAATCCCAAAAAAAAAAAAAAAATACTCGTAAACGTTTAAATCTGATCGACAAAGTAAACATCGATAAAGAAACGTGTGGGTTTTGCTTCTCCATTAGTATATACCTGCATGTACTCTTGTTCGTTTTTCACACCCCATAAGCTGGTGCTCAAATCTTTGATCATATCATCTAACTTTCCATGATTGCTATCTCCATCCTGATTCTCCGCACCGGCATTATCCTCAGATTGTTTCCGATTTTCGTCAATATCCATA